GTCGAACGATCACCACTATGATCAATACTCCCAGAAGAACTATTATCTAATAAGGTAGCCCTCTGAAGACGAGAGAATATATCAAGAAGATAGGGCAGCTTCGAGCTTCCTAAAATTTGGGCACAAATAGCCTCATGCCCAGATTTCAAGCCAAGAAGAAAGAGAACGATATTAAAAATCCTCATGCTGCTGCTCCATACATGGAATGTCAAATGAAATAAGTTAAGACATCTTCAATTTTTCACAAACACCCGTAACCTTTGAGAAGTACTCTTTAAGGCTCAGAGTCCCTCGCTCAAGGCCATAGTATTGCCTGCACAACTCATAAATGCTGGTAATATTCCCGGTCCCCGAATACATATGTGACAATCAATCTCATATCTCCTTTTGTAGTATCTAAATATAGTAGTGTGAAACTAATATTAGGCTCAATGATATTCAGCCCTAGGGACATAATCTAAGCATCTTCTTGCTCTAGATCTGAAAATTATAGGCTATATCCTTAGCTTTAGCATCCACCAAATGGGTACGAAGTCCCTTACTTTTGAGAAAAACCTCCACTGATTTAACACACAAAACATGATTGTTCCCATTTAATTTGATAGAGGTCATAGGGGGGCATTAAAAAGAGTAGCATAAGACAATGTTTCTGTTTTGGGAATAGAGGAGGGCCTGAGTCTCAGATGCCATTGCAGCAACAAAGAATGAGGCTACTGAGATCATAAAAAGGTGGAAAATGAGCAGAAAACAACTGTTGAGGCCTGACCTGAAGCAGAGGGCAGCTAAAGCCTGAATTAGGGCGGAGTATGGCTTAGGAAGCCTGAACTGAGACTAACTAGAGTTGCTGGAGCCTGAACCGGAGAAATAAGAAGCTGGAGAAGACCAAACTATAAGGAAAATACCTGAACCGTTATGAATCAGACCAGAAGGGATTTGAACCGATCTAAACCGAAGCGAAAAGGCCTGAACCGGATGGAACTAACCTGAGCTGGGATGAACCAGTCTAAATAAACCTTCAAATGAATTGAACCGATCTGACCCAACAGGATTGGGCTTGGAGCTGAATAGACCTTGGGCCTGTGTCTACTAGATTAAGCAAGCCCAATAAACCAGAATTGGATCTGATATCCACCTGAACCGATCCGAATAAAATCTAAATTAGGAATTTGTTGTTCCAACTTTGAATACGCTAAACTAGAATAGCGTTGACAATTCCGATAGCCAAACACGGGTTGTCTCCTTCACATAGATGTGTGGCATACGCTATTCAACGCCGGCGGGAGGCTTTTCAAACGGCGACACTAATAGCCTATCCTAATCATAGAACCATGACCAAATCTACTGTCCAACAATATTATCACAACAAATCAGAACAACCCCAATCCAATCATAACGAATCAACAAGCCACAACACCCAATATCGATGACAACATTGACCACAACATGGGAACTCAACCAACAACCATCAACAACACCTCAATATGGCTTAGAATACTGCCACGATCCGACGATCGGCACAAAAAAAAAACTGAGGAGAAGAAAGAAAGAAGAAGAAGAAGAAGAATGTGTTGATTAAAAAGGTAGCTCTGATACCATGTGACGGTTAAAGAATTAGAGTTAGGAAAAAATAGGGAAGAGATAGTTTGAGAAAAAAAGGAGAATCGAAAGAGAGTAATCCGCCTCTCTCTCTATCTCAATATATGTGAGTGTGTGTGTTTTGAATCAAAAAGCCAAATACACCCCTTTAGAATGTACTTAGTACAAAGTACTTTACAATTTCTGGCAATCTAGGGTTGTTCCTGGAATTTTGGGGAATTACATAGTTTTTTCTGAATTTAGTGAAGGCAGTTGCTCCTATAGAAATTCTAGAAAGTAGCTTTCATAAAATAAAGTTTCATACTTTTTTTTTTCTTTTTTTTTTTTTATCTTTTCTTCTCTTTTATCTTTTTTCTTTTTTTGGAGTCTGAATATGAAATTGTAGGCCAAATCTGATCAAATAGGTCGGGCTTGGGTCAAAAATCAACCCGATTAAAATATGCATCTTTGATATAAAAAAATTAACCAAATAAAAATATGAATCGTTTGTCGAAATTTAATCCAATTAAAATCTAGCTCACGGGTCCAAATCTGACTCATTATAATCTGGATTGTCGGTAAAAAATTAACCAATTAAGGAATTAGGTCAGGATCTTACTAAAGAACTGGGTCAAGTAAAGGTTCTTAACCTTCTAATAATCAAAAACTCTGATCATCTTCTTCTATTGGTTCTGGGTTCTCACTTTCAAACCCTAGCCAAAGCTCAAAGACCTATTTATGGCCAATATGGACGACAATGACAAGATGATAGGGCGGCAGTCAAAATTAAAACGAAGAAGATACCAATGACAATAAAGAAGATTTTGGTGAAGACTTTTTCCATCGAGTGAAAGGCAGTAAGTACAAAGACAATGATGTGAGATGATGACGACTTGGGATGAGATCGGTTGAAGGCATCGAATCAAGTGCTGAATCTGGAGCCTCCTTCCTCCAGGTGGCTCTGATCGCAACTAGTATAATTATTTTTCTTTTCTTTTTATTTTTTTTTTAAACTCTAGTGCAAGTCTTCTATTGTGTGGACTGTACAGCAAAAGTGATTACAACAATAATGTTTTTCCTTTTTCTTTTGTTTGATCAATGCAAAAGTTAAAAGTTAATCCTGTAATAGGGGAGAAAGCAAGTGGTGGAGTGTGGTGGATGTGAAACAACAACGTTGGTCAGACAATGACGCACAAAGTAATGAAAGTAATGAAATTAGCCATGAAAGTGATGATTTCATGCAGCAGGCAGTTGTTATGGTTACAACAGGTGTTGACAGTAAGAGAAGAAGTGACTAGATTGAAGTTGGGTTCTATATCGTATTGACATAGACTGCGAAAGTGAAATAGGGAAAAGAAGAATGTGGAGAAGAAAAGAATGGTAGAAGCACAGAGAAAGAAAAGATTTGGAAGAATAAATTCTCAATTAAACAATAATCAAAGTCGGCTACATCCATCCTTTTATAATAACCACCAGATCATCACTCTAATAGTCTATTATTCCTAACATATATCTTCTAGCAAATTTAAAAATTAAATGTGAATACAAAGATAATATCCTAAAAATGAATTTTTCAAAGGACTATAAAACCCAAGAAAGCATATAAAAACTTTAAGTTTACGTATACTAGAGCAAAAGATAATGTGGTTCCCATCACAGTTAAATCTGGGAAATGCTTAATTGTTTAATTTCTTAAGATTGAAATAAATGATCTAGAAATAGTGAGAAATATTATAGTCCTATTCCACCCCGCAGCTCTAGGACATTTTCAGCAGCGCAATTTGACAAATATTTGAGATGACGCAACCCAGAAAAGTTTATTAGTGCTTTATCAATAATTTCCGCTATGAGAATTTGGTCACTTGGCCGCTGAATAGCACTGTCCGATAAGATTTTATCCTTTTGTTATTGATATGTAATTTTAGCACATTTGTTAAGTGGTGGAGGTACCAACGAATGGTGTAAGTGTATATAGGTCAAGAGTCAAGAATTTAAAAAGTCAAACAACTTGGTCTCCAAGTTCACTTGATCCCCAATAACTCCTGTCGTGACTCTAGATGGCATGTATTATTTAAGTAGAACTGGAATGGAATGAAGAAAAAAATATCTGAGGCATCATTTCTTAGGTGTGATCCCCCTCTTATTAAACCTCAGCACTTAATCCGGCAATCAGACCTGCAAGCATTCCCTCTCAAGCCCAGAATTGTCACTTCTACAAGCTCAATCATCTCCTTCAACCAAGATTCAAACACTGCCACTTTTTTTGAAAAAGAAACACTGCCACTCAAACACACAAACCCTGCAAGTTTTTCTTCAGGAGCAGTACAACTGGAACAGCCAAAATCCTTGGTATCTTCTATCCGATCAGCCCCTCTCAATCCTTACCCCCCCCCCCCCCCCAACCCACTAAAGCTTCCTCAAGAACTCCAAAAACTCTAATTCCTCTTTCGAATCTATTCAAACTTTGATTGTTCTGGGGTTAAAGTTACAAGTCCTGGCCCCTGCACCATTGAACTCATTCTATATCTAGAGAGCTTGAATTAAATTATCCTTGGGAAACCTACAATATTTGTAACCCGAGCCAAGGATGTTACAATATGAAATCCTTGTCAAATGCTCAAATCAATCTAGACTCATCTATAAGCCAAACTAATCCCCAAAATGTAACTTGCACTCATAAATTTCCCAAGCCATGGCATAATACGGCAAGCATTGGATGAATTTTTTCATCTTGGATATTTCTCCTCTGCATGGAAGCCCAAGGACTCTCTCCAGAAAAATGTCCAAAAACAAATAACCACACAAGACACACTGGTATATATTTGTTAATTTACACACTCTGTGGAGACATGGACCTCCTTCCTTCAGCAACCTACAACCTCTATTCAATCCTTTTATCTTTTTCACCAATAGCAGTTTCAATCTACATCTTCAGAATTTTTTCACTTATTGCTGTGACCCTGCTCAGCAGTTTCTTGTTATTGCATAACTATAGTTCGCAACAGCAAAATCCTGGACTTAAATGATACAGTCTAGAGGTTCATAGATTGAAAGGTCAGTCAGCAGTAGACAGTAGTTATAATGATATTCATTTTAAACATGAACCCTAATTGCCTTCATTAACCTTTCTGTTTTCTATGATTTTGGACTTCTTGATCTCATAGGATCTCATTGGTCATTCATATGTCCTACAGTCTAGAGGTACATAGATTGAAAGGTCAGTCATCAGTAGACAGTAGTTATATCTCAATCAGCAACCCTTCGATCTTCTTTCCAAAGCAAGGCAATTTCTCACATAAGCTCACCATGCTATGTCTTTTTCCTTTGTTCTGTGTTTTTTTTCCTTTTAGGTCATGGTCCTTTTACTTGTTCGAGAGGTTAACTTTTCTACATTGCTGTCTTTTATTGCAGATAGAACCTTGCATTCAGTAAGAAGTACCTGATAATAAACAGCACAATTTTCTAAACAAATACAAATGCTAGAAGTTTTTTAAGAACAAAATACTTACTTTTTCATTCATACCATCAGAAGCATGATTTTCCTTCTTTTTGGAGTCCTCTGATTTCAGCTTTATCTCATCTGCTCCCAACCCTCGCTTATTCTTCTTCAAATAAGCCTGTATAGGTTCCAACCTGCCCTGTTTAACACCATTGATTTCAACACCATTCAGGCAAAATACATGCAATTGAGGTTAACAAAAATAAGGCACATTGTAAGATGACTTTTGTGAGTTTTTTGGATAGGTATGCCTTTTGTTTATTATCTACAAAAAGATAAAGTTTCACAGATAAGGAAGATGGAAATATATTCTTTTCATTCTTTTTTCAACTAGAAGCACAATTATATCAAAAAGAAAATGCAAAGAAGCAAGTTAAGAAGCCACAATATGACACACAGTAGCTAGCAAATTCTCTTCTTTTTTTTCCCTTGTAGGATCAGTTAGATAGTAAATAGTAATTTGTCAACCATGTTTTCAAACTCAGATGTTTGTCCGTCACATAATCCAACTCAGAATATTCCGAGATTCACAGATCAATTTTTTCCAGATGCCTTCAGTATTTTAACTTACAAGATACTAAAACATAATCAACCCCACCCCTCACCTCTCTAGCATCAAAGGAAAGGAAATGGATTTAAAGATCTTTACATGACAAACTTTACACGCTGTATAGGGTTATCAAATATTTTCTCGCTCGATTTCAAGTCAATTTAGATAATTTCGTTCATACTATGATGCCTGAAATCAAAAGCCAATGTGTTCAATTGCATTAACATCTAGGGCTACAAATGCACCAAGCTATTCATGACTGCTCAAACACAGCTCCAAAGCAGGCTTATTCGTATTCATTGATTTGTTTGACGACCCAGGTTTGAGCTTTATTTTAAACTCACTTTCCAAGCTAGTGACTTGGGCATGTATATATCTTTGTGGTTGCACTGCACATATATATGTAAATACATATATACATCAAACGAGAATTCTATATACAATTCTTCAATGTTTAAACATATTCAAACTATTAAATACAATGAACTATGGTCTGCTCAAAATCTAGGCATGAAGAGTTTCACAAAACCAACAGCCACAAGTCTCCTATGTCACCTTCAGGAAGTCATCCTCTCAAATACTTGTCCTTTAGTTCTATAATTTTCTTTTCATTCACTTTTTTCTTGCCTTCATCTCCAGCTGTGAGAAGCACCGATTAATATAGCAAAAAAAAAAAAAAAAGCTCTCAACATGATTTTAAAAGGCAACCTTATGAGATGTGTATGGATAGATCCTAGATAAAGGGATCTTTGTCCATTCTTCTTGTCTCAATTCCTTCTGGTAGAATATTTTTCCGCTTTGGGATCTAGGTTGCAATGACAGCTTCCAAGCTGAGCTGATCCGAGCTTGAGCTCTTCAGAAACCAGAAGAGACAGATTTTCACACCCATGACTAGGCTCGTCTATACAAGAAGAGGAATTGAATAGATATTATAGATTAGTTATGAGAGTTATTTAGATACTTTTAATATTTATCTTTTAAGTATTTTCTTTTAATTTTTAAGGGTTTATTTATCATTATTTATTTATTTTAGGGTTTTAGTTTCCCTATATAAAGGAATGCATATAAAGCTTTTATTTAGATTAGACTTTGATTATTATTGAATACTAATATTGCTTCCTTCTCAAATTTTTTTTCTTTTCTCATCCCTTTCTTCTTCTCTTCACATCTCTAATTCTTCCCTTCATAGTCTACATCAATTTGGTATCAGAATTATTACGATCTACATCAATTTGGTATCAGAGCTATTACGATCTACATCAATTTTGTATCACAATAAATTGCTTTGCTATTCTTGAGTTTGGATCTAATACTTATGTGTTTAATTTTTTATTGAATGTTAGTATTAGTCCAGATTTTTATTTGGAGGACATGTTACTTAATCGAGATACTCCAGAACCTCCTACTTTGTTATCCAGTGTTTCTACATGTGGAATTGCTTCTTCGTCAGCACTAGCTCCAGTTCTTATCTTTCCACTTCCACAGCATATTTTAAGTCAAATAGATGATGTGCTACGTGACCAGATTTACATTACTACAGATGAAGATTCTTACATTTATTCTGATCGATGGAAAGATATTGATGATTTTTTCATTCTAGATGAATTGTTTTGTCATCTTCATTCTACTCTCTTAGGGTACTTCTATTTTGAATAGTCTCCGGAAAAATATTTTTCTCAACCTGAGGAGAATGATGGGAATCGTATAGGAATTAGATGATTTAGATTAATCATGAGAATAATTTAGTATTTATCTTTTAAGTATTTTCTTTTAACTTTTGAGAGTTTATTTTTCATTATTTATTTGTTTTAGTATTTTAATTTCACTATATAAAAAGATGCGTGTAAGGGTTTTATTTAGATTAGACTTTGATTATTATTAATTATTATTGAATACTAATATTGCTTCCTTATCAAATTCTTTCTCTTTTCTCATCCCTTTCTTCTTCTTTTCTCATCCCTAATTCTTCCTTTCTTAATCTGCATCAATTTGGTATCAGAGCTATTACGATCTACATCAGTTCCAATATACTTCCAACCCGACTAAGGCCAAGACAAGTCCAACCACTCCACTACTCATTTAGCATCAGTCCATTTGAAACCTTCATACCATCATCATCAAGTATAGTGGAGAATATCACTTTGTGCCTTGTTAGGAAAATAAAACACATATTCAAATTGCACTTCATGAATTAAACTAAATGGTCTCTTGTCAAAACATATACATGTATATCCTTGTAATTCATTGGTTACATGGAACATCAAGCTTCCATGATTCACCACACTAAAACCTAGGCAAAACTGACTGCATAAACCAATACGATCTAATATCAGCATTATTCTTTACAAGTGTATATCTAAAATAGTATAAACATACACCCAAATTTTTTCATGTTTTCCCATAGAATTTTGTCATCCAACACAAACTTGATAGAGCAAACTACATGTAGCAGTACGCTGGTTTGCAAGGAATAATCAAGTGGAATCCTTACATGGTGTCACGTATGTAGAGTAGAAACATGAATGAAATGGCAGTTCTGTATCTCAGCACATAGAAATTGAGGCGTACTGGAGGTACTTGAAGGAGTATGGTTTGACACTAGGCTACCAGAAACAAGAGACTCCGTATTATTTAACTCTTGTCCTAATCCGGTTTTGATTAAGCCAAGAGCTTGAGCATTCCGAGCTTATATTACGATAAAAAGCACAAATTCTAACCAAAATCAGATCATTCAACTTCTCAACCATGATCCATCCTTGTTTTCAGTAGTAATTATGGCCATTGGACTAGCATTTTGGATATATCAAACGGGGGCAACTTGTAAAAGAATAATGACTAAACATAATCCTGGTCAAACAAATAAAAAATCATATATGTTTGTTTTACATCGATCTAATTGCTAGTTACCAATGCTACATTTATTTGTCTCATCCCCAAAAAGGACAAATCATTGAAAATGAAGGATTTTAGACCGATTAGCCTTGTGTCTAGCCTTTATAAAACCATTGCAAAGGTGTTGTCAATCAGATTGAGGTAAGTACTTAGTGAGACAATTTTGAAGTGTTAGGGTGCCTTTATTCGCTGAACACAAATTTTATATGCAACTTTGGTAGCTAATGAGGTGGGGGAGGATAATAGATCAAGGGGTAAAGAAGGTATTGGGTTTAAAATTGACTTTGAAAAGGCCTATGACCATGTGGATTGGAGTTTTTTGAATTATCTCTTGAAAATTAAAGGTTTTGAAAGTAATGGAGAAGTTGAATCAATGGAAAGCCTAGGGGAAGGTTTACTGGTTTACAACAACTAAAGGATTGAGGCAAGGAGATCATTTATCCCTTTTTCTCTTTTACTTTAGTTGCTAACGATTTGAGCTGGCAAATCAGAAGAGCACAGAGAATTATTCTAGTGAAATGCTTTGTTATTGGAATGGATAGAATCCTTGTGACACATTTGCAATTTTTTGTTGATATTATCTTTCTTTTCATTGGGAGATGAGGAAAATTTTCATAATTTAAAATAGATAGTGGTGGTGTTTGGAAGGGTATTAGGTTTAAGAGTTAACATGGAGAAAAGAGTGATTGTAGGTGTAAATTCCTCTCATGAGAAAATTTCTAGACTAGCTGGGATATTGGACAGTGGTGTGGGACAATGGTTGTTAAGGTATTTAGGTCTTCCTTTAAGGGGGAATCCTTTGTTCTTAGCTTTTTGGGATCCAATTGTAAAAAAAGTGAGAAAATGGTCGGATGGGTGGAAGAGAGCATATATTTCTAAAGAGAGTAGATTAACGTTGATCCAATCAATTTTGGCTAGTATATTGACTTATTTTCTCTCTCTCCTTCAATTGTCAGGAAAGATTGCAATGAGATTAGAGAAAATGATGAGAGATTTTTTGTGGGAAGGAAATGGAGAAGGGAAAAAGGCTCATTGGTAAAAGGTGTCTTTCGATTGGGAATTTGAAGGCAAGAAATGTCGCTCTTGTTGGCAAATGGCTTTGGAGATTTTCAATGGAACAAAATTCACTATGGTATTTGGTTATTAAGAGAAAATATGGGTTACAAGCCAATCGGTGGGATGTTACTGGGATAGACCGAGGATCTTGTCGCTGCCCATGAAAATTTATTTCTCAGGGACTTTCAAGATTTTTTCAAAATGTTACATTCATTGTGGGAAACGTGGAGAGAATTCGATTTTGGGAGGATGTTTAAATTGGGATATTATTTTTTTTTGGTTTGTTTCCACGTCTTTATCAAGTATCTTGTTTTCATGGGCGTTCTATTGCATCGATGTGTAATTACTCTAATCAATCAATCTCTTATGATTTTGGGTTCCGTATGCATCTTAATCATAGAGATACTATGGAAGTGGTGTGAATTATTTCCTTGTTTAATGACATCAAGTTGTGTCATGAATTAAATGATAAAAGAAAGTGGGTTCTTGAGTCTTCGGGGTTTTTTTTCATGTAAATCTTATTTTGATAAGTTGAGTAATGATCCTTTGTATCATGTGTTTCCTCCCTCTGTGATGATTTGGAAGGCTAGAGTGCCAAGCAAGGTACAAGTTTGTGCATAGATCTAGCTCATGGTAGGATTAATTCAAATGATATGATGCAGTGAAGAAGACCATTTATGAGGATTTCTCCACAATTATGTGTGATGTGTGCTGTAACAATGAAAGTATTGATTACCTTTTTTTGCATTTCCCTATTGCTATATTTGTGTGGTCCAAGCTATTTCAATCAGTGAGATTACAATGGGTGATTCCATAAACTTTTTCTTCAATGTTGATGCAAGAATTTGAAGGATTTGGAAAAGTTGGAAAAGGGTGACCATTTGGCATTGTGCAATTTTTGTCATAATATGGGTAATTTGGTTGGAGAGAAACTCAATGATATTCAAGGATAGAGCCAAATGGATGGAGGGTTTATAGGATCAGATTTGTGCTGCTATTTTGTATTTTGGTGGATTGGAAAGCCTCATGGGCCCCTTAATTTTTTTAGTGTTGAGTTGAGTGTAGTTTTTATTTTTTTCATTTTATGGTTAGACATCTTCTCCATCCTATTAACTCTTTGACATTAATTTCAAATCAATACAAGAGTTTTGTTTTCTATCAGAAAAAAAAGACTAAGATGTGACTTCATCATTCCCAAGAAGACATGTAAAAATACATCGATGTCTGTGAAAACACATAGTTTAAATTAATATATTGGCTTCTAATGGAAAACTCAGATAAGAAAACGGACTTTACCATTGGATTCCTCCAGCAAAAATGAGTCAAATATGTTATCATTGACTATAATATCCCTGTCATATCCAATCCACATCCATGGCTGGTTCATAAATTACCCTTCATTCCATTCCAAACAAAAAAATAAACTTTTATATCAATTATTTTTACAACTCATTAATATATAAAATAAACATTTATGAATATATTGTAACCATTAACACCATATATTAATAGACAAATGTATTACTTTTATATCAATTATTCTGTCTAGTGCTTCAATTTCCTTGAGACAGATGTATCACTTTCGTTTGAAGAAAGAATGTGACTTCTTCCATTTCCAATAAAAAGGCAAATTGGTCATGCTCCAAAGTTGAATTAACCAATTCATCACAAATTATTAACTTAATTTCAATTCAAAGAAATTACTGATCACTTTCAAAGAAAAATTTATCATGAACCCACCAATGAGAACCCTTATTGTGAGATAATTCGATGCAAATAAGAAAAATATTACATACCCAATTGATAAAAAAAAGTTTTAATTTATAGAAACAACTTTTAACTAATCCTAACTCCATTGATATATATATATATATATATACAACAATAAGAATATGAAGACGATGCTCAAGAAACAGTTACAAGGCATCAGCCAGAGTTCCATTGGTCTTAGAATGCTACAAGTTTAAATGATTTGCAGACGGAACAAAAGCAACAGGTTCTGGGTTTTGAGGTTGGGAATGAAATTTATGGAGTAAAAAGATTTACCCAACTCTGGCGAAGCTTCAACAAGAAGTAGCGATGCTGGGCAGGAGGAGGCACGCTGGGAAAGAGTACTAGCAACTACCGATGATAGAAGACAAGTAGACCTAAAGAAAGGGTAGGGTAAGTTTGGCTTTGGGCAAATCTGTCATTTTCCTCACTTATCCAGTCTGTGTAAAAAATATCCCAGCCCCCCTCGGGTTTCATTTAACCCACATTGGCAACTTAACTTTGACTTTTCAAACTGGGTAGGGATAAACCCAAGTGGAATTTTCAGTACACTTTTTTGCTTACCAAACATGGGATAAATGGCCCCACATATTTTTTCTCCTATCCTACTGGTGTTATCCCATTTTAAGCCACGATTTAAACATACCCTAGGTATATATTTGTTGATCTATATATGCGGTGTATATATTGTGATGGATCTATACATATGTATCAAAAATGTTGAAGGAATTATACATATGTGGGTGTTTATGTGGATATGCCTATATACATATTTGGATGTGTAGGTTTCTCAAATAGGTTTTACATTTTGATGTGTTTACATATATCTCAAATTGCTTTATACATTTCATCTAGAAATCCATATCAAAATTTCCTAAAAGACAATTTAAGACTTTGGGGTGGATTTTGAGTTGGAGTGTAAAAAGAAAAAGAAAAAAAAAGAGGGGAAGAACAATCCAATAGCGGGACGTAAGTAAAGGAAAAAGTATGAGTTTTTGACTTAATTATAGAATGGCCCCTTATATCCAAATTTTTAAATAGTTAGGAAATGTTTTTGAAATAGTACATTGACCCCAGAGAGTTATGAAGTAAAATTTACAAAGTAACCCCTAATGATAGACGAGTTTAAAAAAATATAAAATGGTACCAACAATTTATAAAACCTTTCCAAACACTATGTGAAAGTTCTGAAACTTTACATTGACCCCCAAATGGTTATGAGATAGTTTTAAAAATTACAAATTGACCCCTAATTGCTAGATAATGTTTCAAGAAATTATATAATGACCCCAAAAGCTTTTAAAACTCAAAATAAAGAGGCTATTACAAATTGTTAGGCCTTCAGGAGTGTATTCCTTGGTGATATATACAACACTCAGGGTTATGAAGAATATAAATTGATTGTATAAGTAAGGATGATATTACTTATTAAGATTAACAACCACTAAAGTATGGAAATATACACGAGATGTGTTGGATGATTTATGTCGACATGCTCATAATGGTGATAATGATACAATGGTCAAAGTAGTATATATACATATATATGTGTGTGTGTCGAACTAATATTGAAATGCTTGTTCCTAATTGCACATGTACATATTGAATGGGATTTCGATGGAAGGTATATCATACGTGATGATGTTGATTAGTATATATAACCGATAATGTGATACACGAAATGACAACAGTTGAAAAAAGATAGAAACAAATAAGCAGGGATCGCTCCTCCCCGGGGTGAAAGACCAAAACAAGTCTTGATCAAGTATAGCATCCGCCGAGGTGCGTCGTTATTCGTGCCCTAATTGAAAGCATCTAAGAACAAGATGGTGGGGTACACCCGAGGTTAGAGCCCTCGAACGGACCCAATATTCCCCAATTATTTTTGGACCTCAAATATTGAGTTGGCAACAATGGACATAGATTGAAGCACAAAAATTGGTGGGACCGAAGACATTAGTTGGTAATATTGTATACATGCTAAATCGAAAGATTTACTTTTACTCGTGAGCATCTTATTTGTTGGTACATCATATGTGATGCTTTAAGCATGTTCTAAGTATGACATTGTTATAATTATTTGTTACAAATATTACTTAAGATTTTCGTGCATAGGATAGCTATGTCATGTGAGATGGGATTAAAACTCAATAGTTGTTTCTCTACTAGACGTTGGCTGATTCCAATCATCATTTTGCAGGACATAGACTTGGAAATGAGGGGGGTTCAGTCCCTGAGTTATCATGAACATGAGCTTTATAATGAATGTTGTAACATTTTTTATGTATTATGCAACGCACTATCAATGATATTATTGTACTCGAGGCACCTAAACTACAGTATTAAATAAATACCCAACTTGCAAATGTTTGTACTTAAGTTTACTTTGAGGGTTTGGTAGATGCTCTAATTAACCCATTTAAACTTAAGTACTTGAATTGTTTGAATTCACTCAAAAAATTTTGCATATCTATTACATAAATCACCATTGAAAAGTGGGGCATGTGTCAATGCCAACAAATACTATTAAATTAATTATGTGGACTTGGGGGATGTTTGGTAAGGGGGGATTTTTTTTTTTTTTTTTTTTTTTTTGGGGGGGGGGGGGTTGTTGGCAAGATGGGTTTGGAAAAAGTAGTCCAAAGGACCCCCAAATCTCATGCTTGGATTGAAAGTTTAGTCCGGGTTCCCAAACTCGGTCCATAGCTGGCCCAAAAATTAAACTCATGATCATGAGTTTCATCAAATCTAGTGAAAGAATGGGTTTGGGAAGATGGGTAAAGGGTTAAGGATGCAAAAGACAATTGTACTCTTTAAAATGTGTATGAATTGGATTGATCAAAGATAAAATAGTTATTTATAAGATAAAATAGCTATTTATAAGATAAATAGTTGTTAATAATTATAATATATCTGTGGGTCCTATATGTATATTTGTTACATACCAAATATAGGTATGGACCGGATTGAATGTTGAATTCCATTTTTATAAAGAGCGGTTAGAGTTTGAAAGGGTTCGGAGAAGCCAATCCAAACCCCTCCCCAAAATTCGTCCAAACAAGCCCTTAGTGTGTGTGGACTGCTTGGATGACCATAAACGTTTGATTACTAGTGCTAATATTATTGTGCAGCAAACGATCTCTCTTTTTCATGTGAAAAATTACATTACAAATGGTAATAAAATCAACCAATGAACCAACGTAGATACTATTACTTGCATGAATTCATTCAGGAAGGCGAAATTAAGTCAGATTGAAACATATATATACACACATTTACAAATAAAGAGAATAGAAACAGCCAACCTGTTCACAAACACCAAGGCCGGTTCCTTCTTTCCATCCGTGCTTCTTCAACAACTGCAAATAATCCATACACAGGAACATGTTACACTACCAATTCCAAAAACACCACAAATAAAATGTAGCATATGAAGAAAAATAAAAAATTCAAGAAACCCTACCGTCACCCATAGGCATATGTGTCTCCAAGTGTGCGAGTGCGTATGTGCATGTGCTTGTAGAGAGAGAGGGGGGCAAAGAATAGGAAAGGAAAGCAGACCTGAAAACCAATATTAGAGGAGCCGATGGGTGTAGCAGCTGATGATGAAACTGAAGAATGATACGCACTAGTATTCGAAGAACAAGAAGAAGAAGAAGAACCCAAACCCAAACCCATACGCTCCTCTCCTTCACACATTCCCATGGCCATCCCCTGAATATACCCAGTGGTTTGTTCGGCAGCGCGTCTGCTAGTCTTTCTGTTTTCTTTCCTTATGACACCAAATCAAATCAATCCTCTCTTATCTCTACGTTTACAGGCTACGGCGTTTGGTTGGAAGAAGGGTCTTTTATTCTGGTGACTGAACCCTAACCGACTTTGACCTTTTGGCTGGGAAGGAAAGGGCCACAGAGGCCAGCTAGGAAACAAAAGAACAAAAGTCGATCTGGTTTTTTTTTTTAATTCGACGTAGATAATGATGATGCACAAAAATGGTTTTATAAATCACCTGTCAAGTGTAGATAATAAATGCAGTGAAATCGATGAAAGAATTAAAGAAGACACAATTTATAGTGGTTCGGTCAATTCGACCTACGTCCACTCTTCAATGGCTTCAGTTGCCGGATATTTTATTAATTCAGAGGTATGGAGAATAGAGATACAAGCTTTGAGAGAATGGAGAATCAAAGAAAGTGGTCTCCGGTCGTCGATCTATCCTCTGGAAGTATTGGTGGGGCGTGACCTTTTTTTCTCTTCTACCAGATTGGAGCTATTTTAGAGCAGCTAAGAGATCATTCTCGTGGAGATCATGACATATCTTCAAGGCTTCTTTATCGTAGCTAAAAGATTATTCTTGGTGGAGATCACGACTTATCCTCAAGGCTTCTTTATCGCAGATAAGAGATTATTCTTGGTGGAGATCACGACTTATCCTCAACGGAAGGAGGAGGTTGGGGAGCTCTTCATGAAACGTGGTCAAAGATTGGACCGTTTCCTTCGGTGGTGCAGATAAGCCTCTCATGCTCTCCTCTTGGTGACGTGCTAAGCAAAAAGTCTAACCGGTCTTTGACTGTCTTGGACTTGGTGGATTTGGACCGTTTCCTTTGGTGGTGCAGATAAGCTTCTCATGCTTTCCTCTTGGTGACGTGCTAAACAAAAAGTCTAACCGGTCTTGGACTTGGTGGAATCAAAATTAGGTTGGGCTCCTCAACTGGGGTTGGATTTTAACACATAAATTGGACTATTTGGGCTTAACCCATCATTTGCCCCCCAATGCCCCATGTCCAAGGAGACTTGGAGAAGGAGGCATTGATTACATTTTTTTTTTTTTTAACTTCAAGTCTTTCCCACTTTATTTTGAAGAGGGCCCATAATATTCTATTTGACCTTTTTATTTTGAAAAGAACTTATAACTTTCTATTTGGCCACTTTATTTTGAAGAGGGCCCATAATTTTCTATTTAAGCTTTTTCCCTCTTTTTGAAAAACCCTAGACTATAAATATAGTCTTCTTCTTCATGTTACCCATTTCACTCATTTTTAAGGTTGAACACCCACCTCTTGAAAACCTTGAAAACTCAAGTCCTACCCATTTTGTTGAAGCCAAAGTGTGTTCTCCTTGAATCCTTTCAAGAGTGTGATTTCTTCCTTGCTAGTTGAGCTTCTCAAGTAAACAATGTCGATTGAAGAGGGAGTGGTGGAGGTTGAAAAAAGGGAGAAAATATGCACCATTTTAGAGAACTTGGAGGCTGATTTTGAGCATTCGAATGCTGTCTTGGACAGCTTTGGGGCTGTAAATGAAGGGCTGGACAGTGAAGGGGAGATGGGCAACGCGAGGAGTGGCTTGGGCAGCGAAGGAAAACGGCTGGGCGTGCGATTGGACAGCCTAGGCGCGCGGCTGCACAGCGCAGGCGCGCAGCTGGGCAGCTCGCGCGCGCACGATGGGGGGCTGGGCGGCTGCCTAGGCTCTACTCCTCCTGTCCTGGATAGCCCAGGCACACTGGGCAGCTGCCTGTGCGCTGGCCTTGCTGTCCTGGACAGCTCAGGTGCGCTGGGCAGCAGTCTGGCTGCTGCTTCTGCTATTTCGGACAGCTCAGCTGCGCTGGGCAGCTTCAGTTCTGCTGCGCTGGGCAGCTTTGGGACGCTGGGCAGGAGTATTTTTCCATCAAGGGGCGCTGAAAATCAGTCCAAGGTTCATCAAGGAGAGCTAGGCAGTGGCCTAGGAGCACGGGCTGATCCGATTCTCACTCGAGGCACTGATTTGGGCCCCTTAGGTGCTGATTTTTGCGTCGAAAATTCTGCTTTGCGCAATTTTGAAGGGCCAGGCACCCTTCAAGCTACTGGGCAACTTTGTTTTGACGAGCAACAGCAGTCAGGCACACTTCTAGGCGTTGGGCTAGACATTGCAAGTAGTAAGGAAGCTTTGGGTGCTGCTCTTGATGATCAAGCCCTTCTCTAGGTGCTGGGCGCCTTGGGTGAGCCTGGGGCTGCCTCGGGAGAGCCTGCTTTGTGATGACAAAAATAATGTTATTCCAAACATTAAAATATCTCACATAATTACCTGAAGAGAAAGAAATGGGTTACTTGCGCGAGAGCAAAGACAGAGTTGGAGAACTGCTCGTGAGAGAGCTACACTTTTTGAGACCTAGCTTTTGGCGACCCATGAGAAAGTCTTTAAACTTGAGGTATAAGCTGCCTGTTTGAGAACAGTGCAGAGGCCAAGCTTTTTTGGCGATCCGTGAGAGAGCCGTTAAACTGGCGATAGGCTGCCTGTTTGAGAACAGTGCAGAGGCCAAATTTTTTTTTTAGCGACCCGTGAGAGAACCGCTAAGCTGGAGATAGGCTGTCTGTTTGAGAACAGTGCAGAGGCCAAGTTTTTTTGGCGATCCGTGAAAGAGCCGCTAAACTGGAGATAGGCTGCCTGTTTGAGAACAGTGCAGAGGCCAAGTTTTTTGGCGACCCGTGAAAGAGCCGCTAAACTGGAGATAGGCTGCCTGTTTGAGAACAATGCAGATGCCAAGTTTTTTTGGCGATCCGTGAGAGAGCCACTAAACTGGAGATAGGCTGTCTGTTTGAGAACAGTGCAGAGGCCAAGTTTTTTGGCGACCCGTGAGAGAGCCGCTAAACTAGAGATAGGCTGCCTGTTTGAGAACAGTGCAGAGGCCAAGTTTTTTTGGCGACCTGTGAGAGAGCCGCTAAGCTGGAGATAGACTGCCTGTTTGAGAACAGTGAAGAGGCAGGTCAAGTTTCTGGTGATCTGTGGGATGATTCACCTTGCCTAAACTTGTTGATTTCCTCAGCATTCATATATCTTTGAGCTATTGTGAATAGTTCTGGCATGCTCTTTGGTGGTTGCTTTATTACTGAAAAAAGGAATCTGGATGAGCAGAGGCCTCCTAGGAAGGCAGTCATGGCGACTTTGTCGTTGGGTTCCTCGATTTGGAGGACTTCCTCGTTAAAACGAGTGAGGTAACTCCTTAGACTCTCATTACGATCCTGTTTTATGCTGAGCAGATGGATGACAGGCTGCTGCTAGCGGCGTCCACTAATGAATTGTGTCATAAAGGATCTGCTCAGTTCGGCGAAGGAGCCTATGGAGGCCGGGGTGAGTTTGGCAAACCATTGTCGCGCTGATCCCTTCAAGGTAATTGGGAATGTCCTACACATAATTTTGTCAGGGATGCTGTGTAGTTGCATCATGGTCTTAAAAGTTTCGAGGTGATCAAGTGGGTCCTTCGTACCGTCAAAGGTTTCAACGGATGACATTTTAAACTTCTTGGGAAGTGGGTAGTTCGTCACGTTAGGTACGAAGGGTGTGTTGGTTCGAATTACCAGGCAGTCCACTGTCTCGGGTCTCTGTGCTTTTATAGTGTTGAAAATGTCGTCTAGTTGATTTTGTACCTCTTTTATTTTTTCGTCCAAGTGGTTGGGAGCTCCTTTTGAATCATGTTGGAAATGGCTTTCATGCTCCATGCTCTGGTTCTCACCTTTGTCCTCTTGGAAAAGAAAGCCCCCACCATGAGAAAAGGGAGCTAGAAGAGGAGGTGGAGGTCCCCCGTGGGGCGCTCCCCTATGAAGGGCACCCAAGGGAACTCCAAATGGGGGGCCCAAATAGGGAGCAACAAGTTTTGGAGCTGCTTGATGTACAGGGTGTGGAGCTGCTTGATGTGCAGGGTATGGAGCAACTTGATGTGCAGGGCGTGGAGCTCTTTGATGTGCAGGGCGTGGAGCTCCTTGGGGTGCTCCATGTTGTGCACCTCCGTGGGGCCCTCCATGTTGTGCATCTCCGTGTGCTCCTCCTTGGGGTCCTCCATGCTGTGCACCTCCCTGTCCAGCAAGTATGAGTTGCAGTAACTGCTGGTTTTGAGCAACCAGTTGCTGCATGGTCTCCAATATTTGCTGGGGATTCGGGGCTAGAGTATCCAGAACAGGGTTGATAGGCGGGGGAGCAACCTCCTCCTCTCGTGGAGGATTTTCTTCATGTTGGTTCATGGATCGAGTAGTGATCGCCATTAGTTAATAGATGTAATGTTCAGGAGTGAGAATTTTGTCGATTTCCACAGACGGCGCCAAACTGATGATGCACAAAAATGGTTTTGCAAACCACCTGTCAAGTGTAGATAATAAATGCAGTGAAATCGATGAAAGAATTAAAGAAGACACAATTTATAGTGGTTCGGTCAATTCGACCTACGTCCACTCTTCAATGGCTTCAGTTGCCGGGTATTTTATTAATTCAGAGGTATGGAGAATAGAGATACAAGCTTTGAGAGAATGGAGAATCAAAGAAAGTGGTCTCCGGTCGTCGATCTATCCTCTGTAAGTGTTGGTGGGGCGTGACCTTTTTTTCTCTTCTACCAGATTGGAGCTATTTTATAGCAGCTAAGAGATCATTCTCGTGGAGATCATGACATATCTTCAAGGCTTCTTTATCGCAGCTAAAAGATTATTCTTGGTGGAGATCACGACTTATCCTCAAGGCTTCTTTATCGCAGCTAAGAGATTATTCTTGGTGGAGATCACGACTTATCCTCAACGGAAGGAGGAGGTTGGGGAGCTCTTCATGAAACATGGTCAAAGATTGGACCGTTTCCTTCGGTGGTGCAGATAAGCTTCTCATGCTCTCCTCTTGGTGACGTGCTAAGCAAAAAGTCTAACCGGTCTTGGACTGTCTTGGACTTGGTGGATTTGGACCGTTTCCTTTGGTGGTGCAGATAAGCTTCCCATGCTTTCATCTTGGTGACGTGCTAAGCAAAAAGTCTAACCGATCTTGGACTGTCTTGGACTTGGTGGAATCAAAATTAGGTTGGGCTCCTCAACTGGGGTTGGATTTTAACACATAAATTGGACTATTTGGGCTTAACCCATCAGATAACACACAATTTTTTATTATTTTTGATGATACACAACACGGTCTTATACAAGATCAAGAATCGAGTGTGTGATAAAGTGTTATTAATGAATAATTAATACAGTAATCAATGATAATAATGTAAATATCGGGTCAATACACACATTTATAGTGATTCGATCCAGATGACTTACTCTACTCCGGAAAATAGCAACGGTGGCAGAGAAATCTTTATTGATGAAATAGTAGGTGAGAGAGAGAGAACAAGGGTTAGCTCCGATAAGTACAATTAAAGATTGTATTGATCTCGAGAGCAGCTATCCCAGTAATTACTCCTACATGTGTTAATCCTTCTAAACTCCTTGAACTCTGGACTGGACCGAATCCATGAATTGGGTTTGACCCGCCTTGTAGCTGATTTGGGCCTATCTCATTAATTAGACATGGCCCAGTTAAATCTAGGCTCGTCATTTGCCCCCATACCCTAAGCCCTAGTAGTGATTAGGGTTAAGGGCATGAGTGAGCTTCTTTCCTTTGGGTAGAACAGATATTTTGTTCCATAAGATAGCTTCTTTAGCTTTCCACTCCATGGCATTTTTAATGCTTATTTCTCTATTTGGTAACGCTACTGTTGGAGAGAGGATGAAAAAAATAATGGACACTTCAACACATGGAGATGGAGATGCTTTGGTGAATAGCACCATGAATATGAACCTAGGCAACACTAGGGAAGGTGCAAGGCTGGGCGATGCCATGGAGGCCCCAGGCAAATTGATAATGTCTTTGGTTTATGAAAATTCTCTCTTTCTCATTTGATCACATAGTTGATGGATCAATGGTGAAGGCTCTCTACGTCACTAGGATGGTGACTTCCCCTCCTCTTAGAAGGGGTGAGATCTGATGCCCAGTGCTTCCTAGTTGAGGTTTGACGGTCCTGCTATTTCTCGAAAGACGGGGTTTGATGCCCCCAGCACTTCACATAGCTACCTTGCTTATAGCAATAGCCTGGTGTCCCTGCCGCAAGATGTGAATTTTGGCTAAAAATAGGCTTTGGAGGTTTGTGACACCCTTGGATGTCAGCTCTCGGAGTCTTGATGGTATCATTGATACCGAGATAGAGGACTTTGCTATGGTACCCTGTTGTTATGTGGAACCATGTCTTCTGTATGCTTGGTCATGCTGACATTCTGACTTTTAGAAATTTGCGGATGACTGCGACTTTTTAATACTTTTGAAGATGCTCAAACTCAACGAGGTGTCAAGAGTTTTGGTGGAAGAGATACCAAGGCATCAGGCTACAGAAGAGCAGTTGAGGTTGGCTCATGAGATCAATAACTTTTGAGGCCGAGCTTTTGGAGAATGAGGTTGTTTGAGTGTAAGCAAAGGCTAAGTTAGCACGAGTTTGTGGCAACTCACATGAGAGCCGCTAAGCTAGAGACATAGGTTGTTTGCTTGAGAGTAAAGCAGAGATATGCCAAACATTTTGGAGACTCGCGAGAGAACCATTAAGTTAGAGATATAAGTTGTCTGCTTACGAGCAGAGCAGAGATAGGCTAAGCTTTTTGACAACTCTTGTGAGAGCCGCTAAACTGGAGATATAGGTTACCTGCTTGAGAACAGAGTAGAGATAGACCAAGTTTTTTGCAGACTCGCGAGAGAACTACTAAGCTGAAGATATAGATTGTTTGCATGAGAGCAGAGTAGAGATAGGACAAGCTTTTTGGCGACTCTCGTGAGAGTCACTAAGCTAGAGATATAGGTTGCCTCGTGAGAGACGCTAAGCTGGAGATTAAGAGTGTTTGTATGAGAGCATTGCTGGGTGCTGCAGCACGGGCGCCATTGGGCGCTGGGCGTTGTCTGCTAGGCATAGGTACTGGGCATTGTTCGCTAGGCACAAGAACTAGGCGTTGTCCGCTGGGCGCTGTCTACTGGGCATTGTCTGCTTGGCACAAGCGCTGTTACTGGGAGCTACCCGTTGGGCGCTAGGGCGTTGTCAGCTGGGAGCTGGCTAGTGCTGGTGCTGGTGCTAGTGCTGGCTGCGGACTGCAAGGATATGAGCAACGCCTTAGAGCAAGGGGCGACGCCAAGGCCAATTGTGCAAAGCCCTAAGGCAGGTTGATAGAAGGGGACGTCATGGCTAGTTTGGACAATGCTAGGGAGGCTTGGCCATAGTCAAGAGAAGGGGTGCACGATGGGCGCTGACCAGAGTATCAAAAAACTATGAAAAGAAGCAAAATTTTGAACGACCATAACTTTACGTTCGGTTGTCCGTTTGAGGCAAATTTCTTTTTGAATTTGAGTATTTTTTTGAGATCTACGACATTCAAACTACCGAAGGCGATTTGGGCAACAAATTTTCCCAAAAAATGTTTCTCTCTCTGAATTTAAATTTTTAACCCCAAATTAATAAAAAAGTAGATTTTGCATGTGTCTGCTTTTCGCCGGTGGTGGTGAGACCTTGTTATGATGTGGTAGATCATATTCTATTTGGTGGTTTATGGATCTGATTATTCTTGCCATTGGAGGTAGAAAGACTATGAGGAGAGAATCAATTTGTTTCCCATAGACGGAGCCAAGCTGATGATGCACAAAATAGTGTTATACAAGATCAACAGTCAAGTGTGTGATAATGTGTAATTAATGGACAATTAATAGAGCAATCAATGATAATAATGTAAATATCGGGTTAACAAGCAAATATATAGTAGTTCGATCCAGGTGATCTACTCCACTCTAAGAAACGGCAACGCTGGTGGGGGAACCTTTATTGATGAAATAATAGGTGAGAGAGAGAGCAATGGTTAGTTCCGAGAGATATACAATAGCTAGAAGAAAGAAAAGCTATATGAGGAGGTGTAGAGAGATGTCCTCTCATGTAGATAAAGCTTACAATTTATAGGTACAGAACCTTTGTTAAGGCGGTGATGTGAGGGTAAATGTACTAGCTCTTCGGGGAGGATAACTATAAAAGGTAAGTACAATTAAAGATTGTCTTGATCTTCAAGAGTAGTTATCCCTGTAATTATTCCCCACGTGCGATATTTCTTCTGAACTACTTGAACTCTGAACTGGACCGAATGCATGAATTAGGCTTGACCCGCCTTGTAGCTGATTTGACCCTATCTCATTAATTAGGCCTAGCCCAATTCAATCTGGGCTCGTCAATTTTAGCCAATGTCAATACTAGATCAATTGAGAGTTGAGAATGACAATAAATTTAGTGAAAATTAGAATTAAAAATAATATGACAATCTATTTTGTCAATAAAAATAGGCGCAGATTTATTGGGTCATTAAGAACATATGATGTGTAATGTTTATTAAATAGGTCCAATAGTCCATTTTTTATTTTTTAAAATTTATATTCTACCCTTGAGTAGATCACGCATATAATGGTACGTGATCTATATTACTATTCCATTGGTGTCCCTCTCTCTCTCCTCCCTTCTCTTCTCTTCTGGAGTGAAACCACCAATGCTTCACTCCTAACGATACCACACACCTTAATTATCATGACTTACCACATCTCAATGGTGTCAACTTACTGATCTACGAATAGTTCTTAGATCAAGATTCAATACTTGCACTAAGAGAACTAGGGTTTTTTTCTTTTCTTTTCTTTGCTTTTTTCTTTATGTTCTTGAGGAATTCTATAAACCCTCGTATATTCACAATAATATGTAAATAAGTACTAGGGATTACATGTATATAACTATTAATTAAAAAATGGGTTATATATGTTGTAATAGAAGATAATAGGGAAACATCTTTGAGAGGAGTTAAGAAGAAAATGACTAGATACTATCTTCGTATTTTACCCATAAATTTTTATTCTTATATTAAATTGACATGATTTTTGAATAGTAGAAACTAGATTCCAAATGATACAAAATTGTATTTTCACATTTATTTTGTGAATGACTTCTAAATAAGTCAAAATTGTATTTGAAGTTCTGAATTCGAACATCAAAGTCACAATCAAATGGGGTTTAATTATAGTACTTTGGTATTTAACAGAAAGTCTAACATAAAATTGAGATATTGTGACAAAGCATGTTTAAACGCAAGGTACGTTCAAACGCCACTCCATTCGAACGAGAGTAGGATTTTTACAACAATTAGGAATATGTCGACTATTCAAACTCTGATCCTATAAATATCTAAGGATGCCCCCCCTTTAACCATACTAATTGGTACTCATGTGCGTTGCACGCCAACTATTTTGATTTTTTTTTAAATAGATAAATTAAACCAATTTTATTCATATAGAGATGGTTATATATTACATAATAGTTATTGAATTTTATAAGGCTTACTTGTCCACTTGTTCCCTTGTTAGTGGACGATTATACAAAGTGGCACTGCTGACATTGGGTAATCGTTACACTCAAGATTTTTCTCGTATTTTAGGTTATATAAACTGAATTGCATAAGGTTCAAATTTTTTTTTTAATTGCATTGCATTTAAAAACTGTAATGTTTAACTTCAGTAAGTGATTAATAGTTGGATGACTAATAATTTCTTGCACTGATAAGAAGTTATTACAATAGGGTATTTTTGTCTTGTTATCTTTTTAAGGATAGTATTATCAATTAAATTTTTTTGACAAGCATTGACATTTAAAAGTAGTATATAGATTATTAGATCTATTCAAATATTTGTTTTTCAGTGAATTTGGATATGCACTACATACCTGCAAACATATACAAACATATGATGCAATTTAGTGATTAGTTAACAAAATTGAGGAGAAATCCATGTGCTAAATGTTAAAATCGTCTCTAACAGAATAATATATGCACTGTAAAAATTAAAATTCATTGGATAATTGAATTGGATTCGGATCTCATTTTTCAAATCGAATTTGGATCAAATTTATATTGTTTGGAAAGAAGAAAATTAAAATTTAAATAATGAATATATTAGTTGAATTAATGCAATTAATAAAAAAACATTCCTCAAAAAAGGATAAAATAGACATTATAGAAATTTTGAAGGATAAATAAGAAAATCAAAAATTTTTCTTGAGTCACTTTAAAAAGGATAAAGTAGACATTAGAAAATTATTGAAGGATAAATAAGAAAATCAAAAGTTTTTTCACTTAAGCCACTTTTATTAGTAGTATAGATTTTATTAGTTTTCAACCCTAGGCACCTCTACAGAGAAAAGAAGGAGAAAATGCAAGATTTGAAGGAATTTTCAATTTGGGAATGGATTAAACACGCTAGGGTTAAAAATTGAGGTTGGGAAATATATTTATATATGTTTTTAATATTCTTGATAATTATATGCTAGATAATTGTTAAATCTTGGTTTTCAAAACCCTAATTCTTGATAGTTACATGATTTTCTTATGATATTTGTTTGTACTTGATTTATAAACCCTAATTCTTGAATAAACCATGTTTTACATTTAAAGATACATTTTTTCTCTTCAAGAATTGAAAGTTTGGGAAAACCTTATTATTTTGAATATCGTAAAAGTAAAGATTTTCTTGATATGAGCTCTTGCATATTTTAATTCCTTTATTATTGTACATTGAGAATTGTAAAATTTGTGATACATAGATTTTGATTGAAATTTGTGATTGGTTGAGTTTACGATTTTATTAAAATTTTAGTTTTTATCTCTTCTATTGTATGGGTGTGACAGACTTAGATTGTCTTCGAAAGCTGTCGAAGAGTGTTAGAGGTTAGTTTATCCCAGTGGAGGTGAGATGGTTGCCTAACACTTGTAGGAGGGTTGTTCCTCAAGAGGTCAACCACGATTGTTTTCATAGGCCTGAGGCTAAGGGACGGTATATCTTTCCTGAGAATGGATTCATCAATACCATATGAGACAGTATACGTCATTTCTAAAGTGGTTTGTGATGTGGTCCTGCGGGAAGTGATTGAGATTGTTTGTGTTTATGGTGGGTGAACGAGGTAGATTTGTTGTATAGATTCCTAAGAAGCAACCAACGTACATGAGACATTTGAGATGATAATATTTTCTTGTTTATGTTTTTTTAAAAAATAAAAATAGAATCAGTTTTCATTTTTTTTTCTATGGTAAAAAATTAAAACATAAAATGCGTTTGGTTGTAGTTTTTGTTTTAGAAAATCTGAAAACTAAAACATAAAATACATTTGGTAACCACTTTAATTTTTGTCATATATTTTAGCTTTATATCAATATCCTGCAATAAACATATCACAATTTCAGTTCTCAATATATCCATCAACCCATAAAATAAGGCACAAATCAAAATAAAACTTGAATTTTTTTTGATAGAAAAGATAAAGCTTTACAAGGAAAGGGAAAAAACTTCAAGACATTCTCTCAGGCAATGGAGCTCAACTATGTCCAACAAAAATCAACACAAGATAATTTCCAATATAGTCCTTAAGCTACTTGTTACCAATTATGATCAAATCTTACAAATAACTCCACTAGACTCTAAGAAGCTATATACTCATAGAAATTAACTGCAGCATTGATCCATCTCATAGGAATTAATCAAACCCAACATCTTTGAATGAGTAGACAATTTTTCCCCTAGCACTGCACACAACTCAAGCTTCATTGTCTCAACATCTTTGAATGAGTTATGTGCTTGATTGTGCTCACCCTAATCTCCGAACACGAACTCTCGAATGTATATATGGCTTATATGTGTAGGTGAGTATCACTCTCCCTCGGGTTCGATGCTAGAAATGGGAAAAACGTGTGTGTGCAAAAGTGCTCCCCAAGAGAAGAGAGTCTTTCATGTGTCGTGTTTTACTTAGAATGGGTATTCCAAGGTCGTCTCCTTAGGGAAGGAAGGTTAAATTGTAGTGAAGGTGATTTTGTAAAGAAATGAAAAACTGTAAAATCTTGTAATTGTGTGTTTTGGTGAGTGGAGTGTTTGATAAAAGTGTAATGAAAGCAAGGTTGGTTAATCCAAAGGGGTCATTCCAATGGGAATGCCAAATCAACTCAAAACATTCTACCAATAGTGTCTTGGTGCTTGATTGATTCGTAGGAAGTGAGGGACTAATGTGGACATGTAGGTTCAAGCATACCTCGTGACAAGTCTACGATGTATCAAGAGCTCATAACCACGTCCGCACTCAACCTAGTCAAACCAAGCACCTTA